ATGTAATTTATTCCTGTGATGCAAAGCTGAATTTTCAGCATCATTACTCCAGTTTTCCTCCTTCAGAAATTATTATATGCTGATTTGCTCAGTAAACATTTCTTATTGATATCAACATTAGAGAGAGAGAGAGAGAGAGAGAGAGAGAGAGAGAGAGAGAGAGAGGTGGGAGTTTCATTTCTAACCAGGTTCCAGCTTAGTGACTAGCACAACAACACTGGTTGTGACTCAGCAAAATAAGGGTACAGAAATAGCTTACACAACGGACAAAAGGGGAAATTTAAGACAACATGGAGCTTACAGTTTCACAATGATTCCTAGATTTGCCTTTGCATGTACAGTAATGCTGCCATTTCATGTGAGAAAGGATTATAACAAAAAAAATTGTGCTACTGTTAAACTTTTGTATTGTTATTTGAGCTGTTTATGAACTAAATATAATATCAGTTAAATGCATGGGTTGATGGAATGATGAACAGACTGAAAGAACGACAGAAAGATGGAACAATAGAATTGATTGACAGAAGACGACAGAATTGTAGATAGAATGTTAGAATCATGGATCGAACGATAGGATGATAAAATAGAATGATGGGTAAAAATGGATGAATGTACTAATGGGACAATAGACAGAATGATAGAACAAATAATAGATAAAATGATACGATGGATGGATGGATAGACAGGTTCATAGTTTTCACCCAACTTTAGGCTATTTGAAGTAGCCTATTTTCTATATAAATATATTATGGTTTTACAGTCCTAACAATAACGGTAGTTTTTCTTCTTTTTTTTTAAAGAAACTATGATCACATTTTTTTTTTTGTTAAGAACAATCTGTCCTTGGTGCTGGATGCAAGTCTTTTATGTCCAGCTGGAATAAGTTTGGAAGTCCTGATGAAGTTAACTTCTGTATGCAGACACCAACTCTACACTTCCTTTAAAAAGTTTTAATAATGCTAATATTGGGAAATCCAAGGATGTCTGTGACATTTTCACCAATTATATTCATAGTGGAGTGCCCTTCGCTTTGTTTTAGCTCATATGCATTGACATTCAAGACTGAATAAATTCAGATACAGTAATTATCCGAATATTTCTCCTGACAACAAGATCATGTTCTCACAGTCTCTGTTCTCTTTTCTTCTTTCTAAATTGTCTGTCTGATGTTCGAGTCTGGCTGTCACATCATTTGTTTGCTTTTTTGTCTGCACTTATGTTAATTAAATTTAGCTTCGCAGATCGCCCACTGAATCCTCAGAGAGGTTGCTTACAAGGAGACAGAGAGAGAGAGAGTTCTCACTTCCTAATGAGCCTGAAGCTTCACACAGGGCTATGGGATGCATACGGGTAGGAAAAGCTTTTTAGTGTGAGCTTCTAAAAAGTGCACAGGCCTGGAGCGATCTCTCGTTCCATTCCTCCGTTACACCGCATCCCGCGGCGTTTCCTGTAACCTCACATCTCTCGCCTTGTTTTCCTATCTGTTTGCTTTCTCTCATATTCAAAACCCATTTCTGGACGGGTTTGCCCCAGAGGAAGAGGTGGAGCCGAGCGTAAAACAAAGACGCCCGTCAGCGTCAACTGTCCCAATGGTAAAAGGGGTTTGCTCACCTCTTCCAGTGCTGTAGTGCTGGAGTTTGTCACTGTACACGGCCTCCTTATTGTATGCTCGTTTCCTTTAGGGAAAGAGGGGGAGAGAAAATAAAATTAAGAAATATAGTTATTACATGAATCTGGATTTGCTCGGTTGGCTGAAATCTAATGGAGCAGAGTCTTAATTATTGTGTCACCTTTTGAGTTTCAGACAAGGAAGTAAAGTCTGGTCCAAATTGCAGCTTATTCTGGCCAAGAACGTGCTACTCATTTAGAATGAGATTGTATGATTGACATGTCAAGTGACCAATCACAGTTTGTTTTGTCTTGTGTGTAATTGGGAGGGGGGGGAGTGTTTGATCCCACAATAATAGAAAAAGACTTTCAAAGGCTTTATGATCTAAATTTCTGTTTGACCAAAAGTAAAGTCTGAAGACAAAACTTGTTGTCGGGTTCGTTTGGATATAGTTGTGTCTGGCGGTTTGTAAAGGGCTTTTTGTCATCCAATTCCTTTTATTTTTGGATTAAAAGCTTGAATTTCTTACTATTTACAGGAGTTGCATCACCTCACCCATCATTAACGTTACCCTACAGCAAAGAACTGACTCAGATAAAGACCGATTTATCAGCACGAGCTTGTGCTTTGAGGAGAGCTAGTGGCTATCACTGGAAATAAAAAAAAAACAAAAATAAAAAACATGCTGATATGTACTATGGCATTAAATATTAAATGTTTACAATGTTAATAAAATTTTATACAATTAAATAAAATATGTACTAAAATGTTTAATATTAAATATATAAACACTACTGTTCAAAAGTTTTTTTTATGCTTTCATTCAGTCAGGAAGCAAAAGTGACAGTAAAGACATTTATAACGGTACAAAAGACTTCAATTTCAAATAAATACTCTTCAAAAAAAAAATATATATATATATATTAAGCCACCCACAACTGTTTTGAACATTGATAAGACATGTTTCTTGAGCAGCAAATCAGAATGATTTCTGAAGGATCATGCGAGACTGAAAACTGAAGTAATGGCTGCTGAAAATTCAGCTTTACTATCCTAAAAATAAACTACATTTTAAAATATATAAAAAAAAACAGTTATTTTTAAAAATATAATAATATTTCTCAATATTACTGTTCTACTGTCTTACAGACCTCATACTTTTGAATAAATGATTCATAATATGTTACACATTTTAGAATGATTAAACATCTGATTGTATTACTGACCAAATTATTGATACATATTTGAAGATGGCTCCATTGCAGATGATTTGATATATTAAGTTTCTCATTCACTTTAAGTAAAAGGAAGAACCAGGAACACGTTCAGCTGGTTTCAACTAGTTCGAGGCTTTTCGTCCTTACGAACACATGCAGCAGTCATACGTCTGGCTCCATAATAGCGAACTCACCTGCTACAGACTATAGATATGGCCACCAGAGACACAATGAAGACCACTCCAGCCGCGGCTGAGCCCGCAATCAGCGGCAACTGCTCCCTCAGCTCTGATTTATAGTCGTCTAGACAGAGAGAGACAGGATGCATTAGGCTACAGAGATAACTGAAATGGCCGCTGACTATAGAGATGAAACAGGGGATGAAAGAACGTAAACAAAACATTTCAAGAGAACCAATTCAGGAAAGTGTTTCATAGATGGCATGAATAGGAGATTGAAAGAGGGGGGCACAAAGACGTATGGAAAAAGGGAAGAATACAGATTTAAGAACTGTGAGGAGGTGTGAGCTTTGAATGAAATGGAAGAGAAGGGTGAAAGAGAGAGGGATAATAGAGTGATACAATTATACAAAAGGAAGCGCTAAATCACGGTGGTCAGGTAATACTAATGCCTAGCGCTGAGAAAGAGCGATGGAAAAGGACAGAGAATGAAAGGAGGGAAGGAAAAACACTTAAGGTACACAGCCGAAAGACAGCGACTAGTGAAGTGTGTGTGAGTGATGTGTGCGGTCCATCAGCATGACTAATCCTGTCGTCACAGTCTAAAAACAACAAAGAAGAGAATGGAATGGCCTTTATCGATGTTCAAATACAAACAAACCCTCGACTGGCTCACACACATACAGGAGAACAAACATTCGTGTGGTTTGAAGAAGCTACTTTGAGATCCTAGCATGCTAAGCTACAAGCTACTCATAATTTTAAGCAGCTAAATTGCAAACTAAAGTACAAACTAAAAAAATGTGGCTAGCATCACAAAGCTATGTAAACATAGAAGAATTAGAGAGAAAGTGTGTCTGAGAAAGCTAGGGGGGAAGAAACTAGAGGCAGCATGAGTGAAAAAGACTGATATACATCATTACTTGACAGACTTATGACTTCATTGCATTCTAAGTAAACTTATTGTATGTAACTTGCACTATGCACACTACTGTTCAAAAGTTTTTTTGTTTTCTTTTGTTTTGTTTCTCAGAAAAGATTAAATTGATCAAAAGTAACGGGAAGGGCATTTACATTGTTGTAATAAATTCCTTTCTTTTGAACGTTTTATTCACCAAAGAATCTTGAAAAATGCTTCACAGTTTCCACAAAAACATCAGGCAACACAACCGTTTTCTTGAATGTTTCTTTCTACCACTATATTTTGCAATATATTAAAATAGAAAACAGTTAAAATTAATAATATTTCACAGTACTATTTTTTCCTGTATTTTGGATAAAATAAAATATAAAATAAAATAAAAATCTTACCAACCCCAAACTTTTGAACAGTAGCAGTAACATTTTTTAATATGTTGCATGTTTATTGGATGCATAACATGTTTTTATGGTTGTTTTGTGTTATTCTAAAGTGTGTATTTCACTCCAAACAGGCCAAACGTGGGAAGAAACAGCGTAACACAGTCGAATATAACCAGCACAGGGTGTCCCAACTGGACTGCAAGTGGACACTGGTATAGACCAGTTTAAACCAGTGCGAAGCAAGCGAGACTCATTTTAATTCACAATTTCCACACATAACATGCATTTGTTTTATGAATGAAGGTGCATTGAAACTTTGCATTTGTGTGTAAATATGTGTGTCACAGCACACTAGAAAAAAAAAAAACCTCGCACTCGTGGTCGTTTTTAGCATGCTGGCTAAATCCATAATGGCCAACGGGAAGTAGTGCAGTCTCTGTGTGTACTGGGCTTAAACACACCTCATTTAACAGAATAATTTCTTCGTCATTACACCTGACTGTCAAAATAAGAGAGAGAGAGACAGACTCCAGGGAGAGCATGTGTTATTATTCTAGAGAAGGTGTGTGTGCGTGAGGTGGACTTCTCTCCCCTATGAATGGTGCTAATTGTCATAACGAATGTCGTGCCATGGCAGAATGCCAGTGGACGTACCCGTTAGCTGATGCAGAGTGAACGTGGGCACTAATTACTTTAGTGAGTATGACGGCACGGTTACGCCTGCACACACACGCATGCATAAATTTGTCTTAATCAGTGTGACATCATTGTGTTCTGTCTGTACTTTCCATTTAATTTGAGTTGGTCAATACTATATTTCAACACTGCATGATGAATAGTATGTATAAACGTGCGTGTCTGTTTGTTTGTTGAGTGCATGTATACTGACATGAATTTACATGATTGATTTGTGTGTGTATTGCATGCATGTGTGTGATTTGCATGATTGATTTGAATGCGTTACAAATACACAAATACACAAACCCAAAACCTGCAACACATGCATGTGACAAACACACATTGACATAAGCACACAAACCATTCAACCATTCAAATCGCATACAAACACATATACTATTCATGCAAATACACAACATGCAATGCATGCAAGCAACAAAAACTGAAAATAAAACACAAATCAATCATACAAATCATAACCACATCCATGCAACAAACAGACAAATGAGCCATGCAAATACACACTGAACATTCAACAAACATAACAAACTTGCAGAACATGCACACAACATGCAAACAACCAAAACTTAAAGACAAATAATTTATGCAAATCGCACACGCAATGAACAAAACAAACATAGGGGAGAGCGGGGCACAAAGTAACACTTTTTGACTTTCTCAAATTGTGTAAATCCACATGGGGTTCAGAGTATATTTTTTTTATCCACAGTAATTTCACACTTGTCTAGTACTAATATGTCGCTTTGTTTCATAATTATAGTGTATACGTTTTTCTTTATTTACCCTCAAAAATTGGAAGTGAAATGTGACAACATGCCCCATAGGTGGGGTACATTGTAACAGCTGAGGGGCACGTTGTAACATGAGTAATAAAAACTGAGATGAAAAATTTACTTAAACCCGAAATATAATTTTACTATGGTAAAATAAATGTCCAGAGATATCTTCAAAATACTTTTGAATTTTGGCGCACTTTTTTTCTCTATATAATATTGATATAGTAACTAGTAAATGCTGTAAATTTGGTTATGCTAGCATGTGTGGAAATATTTAAACCACGTGTGTTACAACTTAGCCCACGTTACTTTGTGCCCCGCGCTCCCCTACAAATCAAAAATACACAAACACATATTTGTGTATGCCATGCAAATACATACACCAAACATGCAACATACCTATATTCACCTAGCATATATGCAACAATCAATCATGCAAACCGCACCCAGATGCATTAAAAAAATTAGCAAATCAGCTATGCAGATACACACACACACACACTGAACATGCAACAAACATCCAAAACTGAAACACATAATCATGCAAATAGCACACATGCAGTCAACAAAACATAAATATAAAACAACCATTAAAATGACAAATACCGTACACACATGCCACAAACTTGCATATACATAGACAGCAAACATAACATGCAACACACACACACACACACACACTAAACAAACAAACATGTAACAAAAAAAAACAACCTTCAAAGCTGAAACATACAAATCAATCATGCAAATCACATACAAATGCATGAAACAAACACAAAAATCAGCCATGCATATTGTTATTGTGTGCATTTTTATGCCTGATTTGCAAGTTTGTTGCATGCATGTGTGTATATGCGATTTCACTATGTAGTTGATTTGTGTGCTTTGTTTATGAATATCCTGCATATCTTGTAGCTCAAACAGTAAAGCATGGTGCTAGCAATGCCAAGGTCATGGGCTTGATTCTTAGAGAATGCATTAACTGATAAAGCATATACCTTGAATGCAATGTAAGTCACTTTGGATAGCATGCATAAATGCAGCTCTAAATCACAAATGCATGTATTATAGTAAAGAAAGATGTAACATACCATCTAATAACAGGGCCATGTTCACACATTAGACCTGTGTCTCTTTGTGTGTCTGTCCCAGATTGCCAGTGCAGTTCAGTTATATTTATACCAGTGTGACAGCAAAGACAAGGAGGGTTGTGTAAAAGATGAAACCTAAAAAATTAATGTGTGAGTGAGCTGGACAGGTAAAGTGTGTGTGTTTGTGTGTGAAGCCCCAGGAAATAGCCATCTGCCTGGCGGATGACTTTCTGTCCTGTAGAGTCCAGTCCCCCTGGAATGTGTGTGTGTGTATCCCTGGCACAGTCATCAGGCAGGACATGCTAGACTACAGATACAGAGCCATTAATCAAACACATGAGAGAGACAGAGGTTACGTGTGTGTGTGTGTGTGTCTGTGTGTGTGTGTGTTTGAGGGAGAGAGAGAAAGAGAGAGATTCATGTTTCTTGTTGTCCATTTTAAAGTTTGAAACAGCCTAAATTTCCAAAAAAGAAAAAAAAGAAAAAGACTGGACTTGAAAACAATCAAATGCACCACAGATGAAACAAACTGAATTTTTCTTTTGTTTGTGCGCCACTAATGAATGAAATGAGCCCAAAGACACAATAAACACATCCACTCACTTCCACTGAGAGGGAGAGTGAGGAAAAAAAAAGGAAAAAAAACCTGAGAAAAACAGAGTGAAAAGAGTGATAGAAAGAATGAGAAAGCTGGCTGGGAGGAACAAATAAGACAACAAAGCATGATAAAAAAAAGAGCAAGATATATAGATAGATAGAACGATAGATAGATAGAACGATCGACAGACAGACAGACAGATAGATAGATAGATAGATAGATGATTATTCACATCATTCTCTAATCAATGAGCTAAGCATTCTGGGAAAGCTTGAATGCCACACATGGTCCTGATGAAAAATCATTGAACTAAGCAGTTTGTCTGGAGAACAGTCAAATACACACACACACACACACACACACACACAACCTGTCTATGATACACAGTGATGATCAGTCAAACTTGGAAATCTACTGAGCATTAAAATGGAATAGTGAACATTTATTTCTACAACTCTAAATAAATCTGCTCAAGGAATGAGATCACCCAGATCCAAAGAGTGCCTCCGCACACATACACACACAACACACACAACACACACACACACACAAACACAGGCAGACGTTGGCGTGGGGGTTCGTACCATCTGTGAGGGTTTGGAAGCACATTTTGCTGCTGTATTTGCCGAAACCGGCAACCGTCCTGGCGCGAACCTGCATCACGTACATGGTGCCCGGCCGTAATCCGTCCACACGAGCCGTGTTCGTCTGACTCCTCACCTGTGTGGAGTTCACCTCAGACAGCTCCTGCCAGACAGAGAGAGATTTGGTTGATTTTATTTTTTTTTCATTACAGATTTAATTACACTACAGACAAAAACAATATTCAAAAACAAAAAAAAATCACAAATGAGAGCTTGTTAATATCTCAATTGTTTCTCTTGCAATGAGACCAAATTTCTCCATCATCCTTTGCTTAAGTCCATCAGATAATTCAGAGAGTGGAAAGAAATTGCAAATGTTTCTCCTTAAGAGTTTTAGAAGAGATCTAAAAGATGTCTCAAACTATGCTCAAATTTACCAAAAAGTCTAGAATCACAAGTCTTTCAAAACCAAATAATGTGAGCTATAGTATCTGAGAAACATTTGAGACCAAGTTGATATTCAAACAAACTTTAACTGAGACCTCCATTAAATGGGGCCTCGGAGTAAAAACGCTTTCCTTTTTTGGGGAGGAAAAAAAATCTTGGTTTAGTAAAATGAGCCTCTTTGAAGATCCGTAGACGAGCACTGATGCCATCAGAAAGGACATTTAGGAGCAGACGAGACAGTAATGTGTTCCTGATGAGATCTCTCTTTCTAAACTCCAACACCTCACCAACTCAGAGCGAGAAAATGTGTGTACTGTATGTGTGTAGAGAGAAAGTGGTAGACTATAATTGGCTAAATAATTCACCCTGTTATCATAACCGTCTTTAAAATAAAGAAATAGCACACCATTTAATTTCTGTCAAAAATTCCTACTAATATTTAAAGGTTTCTATTTAATATGATACAGTGCAGTTAGCAATGAAGAAATTTAAAGCAACTGTAAGTAGTTTTGTGTATTTTTGCGACTTTGGAGCCTGCAATTAAGTGAGTGAAATTCACTGTGGTAAATATATCACTGTTGTAATTACAGTGAATAGCTGTACTCATGCATTTGTTGTTGCCGTAAAACAATCCACCCTTTTTGCAGAATTTCATAGCCATTCAAACTAATTTATTCCCAGAACAGACATTTTTGGGGGGAAATGTGGGAAAGAAACAAGCCATTCGCCTTTTTAGAAGTCAGTGTACCATCAGAATTTAAAAATTGATATTTCAAGGTCAAAACTTGAATCCAGTTGCTTTAATAAAGCAGCTTTTAGGTCAACATGACATCAAAACGGACTTTCTTTATACTTTTCAAGCTCCACTCAGTTTCTGATAGATAAAATCAGATATCAGAATCAGATCATTTCTCATTGATTACCTTGTTTTTTCAAAAATACAATCATATTATGCAGGTAAAATGAGTTTGTTTCATGTGTTTCATGTTAACCTTTAAAACCTGGCCTCCTTTGTACTTCAAAAAATAAGAAAGCAGAAAGCTTCCTTTTAATTTGGAAGAGATGAAAGGTAAAGAATACTTTGAGAAATACAGAAAAAAAACTAGCAAAACTCCCAGCACTACTTCACACACGGCAGAAACTAATGTGCCTGTCAGTTAATGTCTCTGAGCAGAACTGATGCGCTTTCATTGGATTTTAGTTTGCACTCATCAGCCAGCTTACATGAAAATGTGCCATGATATACAATAAGACAATGAAAAGACAAAGAAAACAAGGATGAAGCCTTGAGTGTGAAACTGAAATTAGATTCAGATTCATTTCAAATGTAGTCTGTTATAAACTGCAACAAATAAGATTTATATGTTTATATTGATGCCATAATGTCTGTCACCTCAGTGTCTGCATCTGTTCAAACACTAAAACATACAGTATAATACACTGGTAAGCAATAACACTGGATCAAACACAGTTGTCACTCATAACTATCCTAAATTATTATCTAAATATATACTATCCTAATATATACTAGATATATCCTATATATATATATACTATCCTATATATATATCTTAGTAATATAAAATATTAGTTTTATAAAATATAAAACACAATTAAATGCACAAATAAATTACATATACGCATGTACATGTATAAATACAAAGGACTTAAATATTTACATATTTACAGTTTATCCCTACATTACCTGTCTGAATACTTTTATAGTGTATATATGATGTATGTCACATTTGTCTTTGTCTCTGTTTTATCACAGTCTTTGTTTTGTGTTTGTGTTGTGAGCGAAAGCAAAGGGTACCAAAAATGAGACAGTATGAGACGGTATAGTAAAGACTCAGACGGAGAAGAGAGAGACTTGCTACAACATTCAATTTAGATTTCAAGGTCTCATCAAAATTCACAGCAGCACGACGCTGAAAGCCCACACTGCACATGAAAACCCCTACTGTGTTGGCCGAAGGCGAAATCTGTTTCTTAACAACTGCAACATAATAATAATAACCACGGAAAAAAATAACAGTGATATTAATAATTCAGGTTCAGAGCGTGCATGAGTGACGTGAAAGGGCATGCAGGAGGGTTTGGCGTGTTTTCTGTAATTTACAAAACAAGACGGTATGTCTAAATATGTGTCATCCTCATGGTGGCGAATGAACAGAAATGAAAAGAGTCTGCACCTGACATCACCTCAGCCATAAAACAAGCGTGACGAGCACTAGTGCTTTGAGATATAAATTATGAAGGACTCTTACAAACACATGATCATGACCTCACCACTGGGCCATAAATAAATAAACACAGTGAGTGTCATTTAGGGCATCGGACAAACAATATTTGCGCTTATGATGGAATCTGCTGTTCTTTTTTCATTTTAATGGAATAGTTCACCCAAAAATGAAAATCCAAGATGTGGAGGATTTTTTCTTCATTGGAACAGATTTGGAGAAATGTAGCATTACATCACTTGCTCACCAATGGGTCCTCTGCAGTGAATGGGTGCCGTCAGAAGGAGAGTCCAAACAGATGATAAAAACATCGCAATAACATACAAGTAATCCACACAACTCCAGTCCATCAATTAATGTCTTGTGAAGTGAAACGTTGCGTGTTTGTAAGAATTAAATCCAAAATTTCTGGTCCAAGTCCATAATAACGATTCCTCCAGTGAAAAAGTTCATCTCCTGCTGTCCTCTCACATCAAAATCCAATATATGCGTTTAGAATATGTGTGGACATTTTTTGCTTGCAAACAGCGTTTCTCTCCCAATTCAGACAAGATTGCTTTTTTACTGAACAAAGCAATATTATGGAAGAGGACTCGTATTTCAGCAGGAAGCAACAGTTTGAAGTTAAAAACATCTTAATGATGGATTTGTTTCTTACAAAATGCAGCTTTTCACTTCAAAAGTCATTAATCGATGAACTGGAGTGGTGTGGATTATTGTGATGTTTTTATCATCTGTTTGGACTCTCATTCTGACGGCACCCATTCACTGCAGATGATCCATTGGTGAGCAAGTGATGGAATGCTAAATTACTCCAAATCTATTCTGACAAACTCATCTACATCTTGGATGTGCCACCCTCATGTTGTTCCAAATATATACTTACTTTTTTTTTTTTTTTGTGGAAGGATTATTCATACTACACTTTTCAAAACAATGAAAGTGAAAAAGATGGATGCTGTCAAACCATACAAGTAGCCCACATGACTTGTGCGCTATATAAGCATTTTAATACTATATATTATATGGCTATTATGTTTTTTTTAAGTCATATGATACATTTGTGTGAGGAACATACTGAAATTCATACTAATATTTGCTGAATTATAAGATTTCTTTGGGTGAACTAGACCTTTAAAAGCATAAACCGTTATTCAAAAAAGTGTTTTCAACTTAATTTGCATGCCCAATTACCTCTTGAGGTTTATTAACCCAGAGTAATGAAATGTAATTTACATTCTTTGCAACTGTCCTTGCGTAGTGCACAGATCACCTGTCAGAAACACTGCTGTTCTGGAGATTAAATAAGCGCAGTGCTGAGTGAAACGAATTAACACGATTTAAAAATAAATAAATAAACAACTCTCAGATTCTTATCAGGGCCGACTTTGATTGTGCCCAAACAATTATTTTGAAAGAAACTGAAAAATGTTCAGTGTGAATATGTCCAGAATACTAACATATCACTTACTGCACACTGCACTTACGCTCCATAAAAGAACCATATTTGGTTCGCCAAAGAACCTTTCAGTGAACAGTTCTTAATTTTTTTTTTTTTCTTAGTGTTAAGAATGTTTTAAAAATCTAAAACTTACTTCTGGTTCATTCGTGTCACAGGGAAAAAAAAGCTCTTACGAGTGTCACACACAAAGACAATTTACATATTTTGCATGCTTCAAAATTAGTATGCAAAATATGGTAGTGTGCTATTCTGAACATAGCCAGTGTTTGCCTGTGTGCCACTTCACTTTCCATGTTGATCTGGCTACTGTTCCCTCGGCAGTGATGCCCCGCTGGGAGCGGCCTTCTCCCGCTGTCAGTCAAATGGGGATTATGGGAAGTCCCTCCCAACCTCTACCACTGCAAGATGGTGTGGAAAGTAGGCGGGGCTTGTGGCAGGCAGCCAATAGGAGCAGCTGCCAGGGCAGACTGACACGGTTCTCAGCAGGTCCTCAGTGAGCAGTGGGTCTGTTTTGGCAAGAGGCAGGTTTCACCGCCATAGACCAGCAAAGCAATCTGTCCTGCTGAAGGGAGTCGCCTGTCCTACACACACACACACACACACACACACACGATCACACACACACATGTTGTGTTTCCATGTTTTATGGGGACATTCCATAGACGTAACACAAACAGGGGGACGGGGCTGGTGTCAAATCAGTCCTTCTGTTAATGGACCATGGACCGCATACACACACACCATCTCAAACATCCTTCAGTGAACATGGCATGGCTGGCCGTGGCAAAGCGCCACTTCCCCCAATTGGGTGGCACATGCCACCTCTGCTTGCAGGATGGCAACACCACCTGGTAAGACCTATGAAACACAAAGACTGTACTAGGGAAGATTACTTATAGAGAATATAATTGCATTACTGCTAAGGCTGATTCACTGATTCGATTATGTTCTTAATTTTGATTTATATGGGCATTTATCAAGATATACTCTTTCTGATGGCTGAATCACTGA